GTAATATTGTGCTATTGGCTCTTCCCTGCTGCTTATAGACTCCTCCTACATTTTATATGCTTTTATTATACACCTTGCTGATATTACTTAGTTTAGTATCACATTGTTTGTTTAGTATTTACTGAAATATATTCACAAACTATAGCAACAAAACAGGCCTCACACACACAAAGGAAGAATGTGAATGAATACATTATTATTATTATTATTATTATTATTATTATTATTATTATTATTATTATTATTATTATTATTATTATTATTATTATTATTATTATTACTACTACTATTATAGGATCAGTAATCATTTGATACTAGCCCCACCCTCTTCCCTTACCTGGTACAATGATAATAGTACAAAAACAAAAACAAAAACTTGAGTACAAAAACTATAGTCCATGTATTTTTCCAAAAAATGGCTCCAAAATCACCCCAAATTTTTATTACATTTTCTGATACATAATGATGTCCTTATGCTGTGTGACAAGTTTGAGCTGATTCCGACTTCAATTTTTCAAGTTATGGCCATTTTAAGAAAACGTCAAAATTCTGAAAACTACCCAAGGGTATAGCCCATGGTTTTTTCCAAAAAATGGCTCCAAAATCACCACTAATTTTTATTACATTTTCTGATACATATTGATGTCCTTATGCTGTGTAGAAAGTTTGAGGTGATTCTGACTTCAATTTTTCAAGTTACGGCCATTTTAAGAAAACGTCAAAATTCTGTAAAATACCCAAGACTATAGCCCATGGTTTTTTCCAAAAAATGGCTCCAAAATCACCACTAATTTTTATTACATATTCTAATACATATTGATGCCCTTATGCTGTTTAGCAAGTTTGAGGTGATTCCGACTTCAATTTTTCAAGTTACGGCCATTTTAAGAAAACGTCAAAATTCTGTAAAATACCCAAGACTATAGCCCATGGTTTTTTCCAAAAAATGGCTCCAAAATCACCCCAAATTTTTATTACATTTTCTGATACATATTGATGCCCCTATGCTGTATAAAAAGCCTGAGCTGATTCCAACTTCAATTTTTCAAGTTACAGCCATTTTAAGAAACACCAAAATTCTAAAAATTACCCAAGGCTGTTGACTCATTGTTTACTTAAACAATAGTCATAATCATTACACAAATAAATGGTAATAGCAACTTTAAATATGGAAAAGAATGATTGAATGTACATGTGTACATTTGGCACTATCTATTAATCAGTTAATAATCCAAATCCTTACTGTCTATTAATGTATGCATACATCAGTTTATAAGTTACATTTTGAGATCTGCTATGAATTTATCATTATCTCACTATAAAACAAAAGCCATGCTGTCTTTTCCAATACTATTAGTATAGTTAATGGTATCATCTACTGATATTGGCTTAGACTAATTATGATTGTGTTACAGTGCAGCAATAATGAATGGCATGCTATTAAATTTTAAAATTCTATATAAATTTTCAAAATCTTTT